AAATATGAACAATAAAATGGCAATAAATACATATGTACCAACAAATGAATCTACAAACAAAATGAACAAGCAAAACAGAAACAGACTCATAGATACAGAGAACTTTTTGTTGGTTGCCAGATGGGAGGAGGGGTTGGAGGGATGGGGGAAAAGGTGAAGGGATTAAGAAGTACCAATTGATTGTTAGACTGAAAAACCTTAAAGAGAAGGTGGAGAGGGGGCGGAAAGAGATAAACCAAAGAACTTATATGCATATAAGCATAACCAGTGGACACAGACAATAGTGTGGGGAAGGCAGGAGAGACGTGAAAGTGGGGAGGAGAGTGTCAACGGGAAAAATGAGAGGAACATCTGCAATACATTCAACAATAAAGATAAGTTTAAAACAAACAAAAAATAAAACCCGCTTTTTAAAACTCTTCAGTGATTGCTCTTGCCTCTCAATAATCTCAGATCTAGAGGTGTAATATTTTCCAAATCCTAAATCCAGCTTCCCATGGAAGAGGGTTAAGTCACAGTCAATTCCCCACCCTACTCTTAGTTCTATTAATGAAAATGAAGAAAACCCATAATATATCTGCACTTTGGTATGGCAATATATATTAAAGTTAAAGAAGGAAAGAGTATGCATGCAAAACCAGTGGTAGCATAGAATAGATATTGTAAATTAACTTTATTTCCATACTCTAAAACTTATTAGTGACACCATCACAAAGCTACTCAGAATTATGGAATTATGGTTCATGTAACCCCTTTGTATATTATATATCAGAAGGAAGCTCAAGCAAGCCCAGTAGGTAGCATTATCTTGACAGGTTACCACAGACTGGTGAGTGGTCCAAATTAAAGGGCTGGAACTTTTTTCACAGTGGGCTTCTGGAGAATTATTCAGGCTAAATTTCTAGCTTCAGGTTGCCTAGGAGACTTGTGCAACTCAATGTAGTAGCCACTAGCCATATTGATCACTTTAAATGTAGCAAGTCCAAAATGAAATGTGTGATGAGTTTAAAATATACGCGGGAGTTTGAAGACAGTACAAAAAAATAAAGAATGAAAAATATATCAATGATTTTTACATTGATTAAATATTAAGTGGTAATATATATGTTGGATATATTTTATTAACATGTATTAAAATTAATTTCATCTGTTTTTTTTTTTACTTGTTTATTTTGGCTGCCAGAAATTTAAAAATTAGATCTGTGGGTCATATTTTGGGCTCAAATTCTATTTTATGTGGACAATGCTGATCTAGATCATAAGCTCCTTGAATATAGGGTCATTCTAGTCTTTATTTGCACTCTATTCTTAGCACTGAATGTGAATGATCAATAAATGTATTTGTTGAATGTATTATTAGTGAATGCCAAACAGAGCCTTGTAATCAGGGTATCTTTTCCCCTGAATATCATCAGAGACCATGAAAAAATCTTTGCTTTCTTATTCTTCTACTTTTGTATTTCCAATTGACCATTTCCTTTCTGTGTTGTTTTAGCATCAATCAGGTTTAGATTAATACTACATGTTTCCCAGTTTCAGATATGCTAGTACATCAATGCTTCCACACTTTAAACTCTAGTCCCTTGAAAGGATTAAACTCTCGTCAATCTCCTTAGTCAACTAATTGCATTTTTTTTTTTTTTTTTACCTTAGGGTAATATGCTGGGTAGTGTTTTTGTTTTTAATCAACTCAGCAGGTCCTTAGCCTCAGCAAAGGCAGGAACTACATTTCCCAGAATCCCCTTCCGTTTGTGGCCCCGTCCCAGTTTGTCAATGAGAGTCACTTGCTCAAGATTTAAAAGGCAGAAGAGGAGACCATTGTTTTCCAGAGTCAATTACAGGAAAATGTGTGAGCAGATAAAGGTCCAGTGCTGCTTTCATATAAATTGCTTGAGGAACTCCTGCATTTTGTTGCTGACTGATACAGCTGATGCCAGTAGATTCAGTGAAGCTAAGGAAGTTTAAACTTCAGGGCTCCTTTTTTGCATGGACTCTTTCTAGGATTCTGGGAATGGTTTTAGCACTTTTATATTCATAATTTTATTTATTTTTTCTTAAAGAGAGTTCTCTAAATTGCATAAGCATTAAGGCTTACAAAACTTGGCTCTAGTCCTGAATGGTTCAGAGCCTCCAAGAGATATTGTGACTCCAGGGGCTTAAAGAGTGCTCGTGAGAACTACCAGCTTTGAGCTGGAGTTAGAAATCTTCAGTGGAACCTCTGACTTTCTCTTTCCCTGTCCATCTAACAGCTGTAGAAACTCTAACTCCAAAAGCCTCTAGGAACTGAGTGGTTTTTGTTTTCATGAGCAAACAAGTCAGTGCTTAAAAATGACTGCTGTCAACAATTAGATTGATTCTTCCTTTGTTCCACTTAATCTCCAGTATAATAAATAAGATTTCTTTACACTAAAAATAATAGGAAAACAATTATTTAACATCATATTAAAAAAGCCTTAGTGTAAGCTCCTTCTTGATCAACATTGGATAACGTAGCGCTTTGTCTAGCACATAGTGTGTGTTTAGTAAATGGGTGCTTATGAGCAACTGTATGAATTAGTGAGTGAAGGAATGGATGACTTTATAAGCATTTGTATCCAAGTTGGTCTCTAGTTATGATTATTAAAACAATATAATCACTCATTTGTGGACTATAATGAACAAAATAAGGTGATGAACAAAATAGACCCAGAGACACAGAAATAGGGTTCAGACTGACAAACTTCAGAGGAGGGGGTGGGGGTGGGAGGTGGAGGGATGGAAGAGATAAACCAAAGAACTTATGCATATAAATATAACCAATGGACATAGACAACAATGCTGGGGGGTGAGGGGAATGGGAGGAGGGTGTTAATTGGGGAGAAACATCTGTAATAAAAATAAATCAAATAAAAAATTTTAAAAGAAAAAAATATTAGATCATGTTTGTTCCAACTAATAATCTCTAGATTTATTCAGCACAGTATCAAAAACTCCTAGCGGCTCATCTGCTTTTTTTTTTTGGATGGAATAAGTAGATTCAGGAGCCATTCCAGCAAAAATTCTAGGAAATTCCAGGATGCATATGTAATTATGTTAGGGTCTTCCAGAGGTTGGAGGCCACATCTGTTAGTTATGAATTATTTTCTAAGAGTGACTATGTGTGTGTGTGTGTGTGTATTATACATATATGTGTGTGTGTGTGTGTGTGTGTGTGTATTATACATATATGTGTGTGTGTGTATTTGAAGGGCTTGCCTATTGGATCAAAGTTTAAAGAGCTCGAGCCTGTTCCTTTTCTTGCAAGCCAATTCTGCATAGTAAATAGCAATGATAATCATTTTGTTGGCTAGGAAAGTCAATGGCCAGTCCTTACCAGAATAATTTAATGACTATAATCTTTAAATTAAGAAATAATTTAATCATGTTTAGAATTAGACCATGTTTAAAAAAATTTTTTTAGACCAGCATGTTTTAAAAGTGTGTGTGTATATATATATATATTTATGTGTGTGTGTGTATGTATATATATAGCATTACTGTATGCCCTATATTGAAATCAAACTAAAATCTGACTTTAACACTTAGGAGTTTGTAATTTTAAAACTATTGATGAATTACATGAAAAAGTGAAAAATCCCATTATTTTGCTATTTTTTTCTAAGAATTAATTTAATTAGTATTTTTCATGGCTGGAGTAAAAAAGTAATAATGCAGGATGGTTTCATAATTATTGCTAATAAATGTATTGATAAGTAATTAAGTTTGGAAAACTTTCGTTTTTTAGTAAACATTTACTATGTTCCAGCACTATGCTGGGTACTGTGCTAACCAGTGTAAATATAATGAGTTACACTTGATAGCTACCCTCCTGATGTGAGGCAGACAGCCACATAACATAATTCCAGGGGGAGGGGGTGGGGAGAACAGGTAAATGGTTTGGGGAAATAGGGAAGGAAAAAAAGGAGCTTTTGTGGGACCAGACACTGGAGTTATATATGATAATCTCATCTACTTTCCCTAGCACCTTCGAGAAACTCTCGTGAAGGAGGAAACGACTCTGGGACACTGAATACCTGGCCCAAGTTAACTCGATTAATAAAGAGCAGCACGGGAAATTTATACCTACGTATGCCTGGATCTTAGAGGCAAAGACCAAATCATTCTGTATTCCAGATAGTTCTTGGGTAGAAGTCACAGTCCCTCTCGCATGTGTTTAGCGTAACCCAGCCCATTCCCTGAAGGCCAGTTAGCTCTTTAAACTGAGATAACGTTTATTGGGTGACATTTCTGTCTACCTGTCATCCCTGAGGCTGAGGGCTCAGTGGCTCATTTTCACCAGATGGCCCAGGCAATTGAAGAAGAAGGTAGGATATGGATTTATTCAGGTTTTTTTCAATTACACTATTAAAAACACATTAACAGCTCATTATTTGTTCTGTTAAATAGGTGTAAACTCTGATAGTTACATTAATTCTCGGAGGGTTGGACTTCAATTTCCTCACCTGTGGCGTATAGATGAAATTATCCGTATATTATCTTTTTGCCAGATAGTCTTAAGAACTTATCATTTCAGTTCTTAATTGCCGTATCAAATAGTTTCTGGTGCTTGATAAATGTTGAGTAAAAACAAGTGTTCGGGGAGAAAAGCGCAGCGTAATTTGGATGCCCTGTTTTCCTCTCCTAAAGGTCTGTTGCAGGTGTCCTCGAGGTCGTGAGGGATGAGTTCCCTGTGTCCCTCTCCAACAAAGGGACAGCAGAGTGCACTCCTCCGAAAATTCCAGGGTGCAATGCAAGCCTCAGACTTACCCTTGCTCGCCTTTACTCCCCCACCTCGGACCCTGCGCTCCAGTCCCGAGCGGATGGGTGAGCAGGAAAGGGCACCAGGCGCCTTTAAATGCTAATGAAGTCGATGCCCAACTCCGAAGCCAATTTTCCCCACCCTCTTCCCTCGCCCGCCCTTCCCTCCCCGGCCCGTGCGCCGCCTAGAAAAACTTGTGCGGGGCCATTTTTGGGGCAGTAAGATCGAGCGAGGAGCCCAAGAGCGAGCGCGCAGCCCGAAAGCTCGAGCCGCCTCCGCCACGAGACCCCACCCCGGCCGCCGCCGCCTGCGCCGCGAGATCCGCACCGGCCTCCCCGAGAGCGAGCCCGGCCGCCGCGACCACCACCCGCGCTAACCGCCGACCAACCGCCACCGAGGTGCCCGAGTGAGAGCAAAGGAGGCGGCATGAGCGAGGCGGGCGAGGCCACCACCACCACCACCACCAGCACCGCCCTCCCGCAGGCTCCGGCGGAGGCGGCCGCCGCCGTCCCCCAGGACCCCGCGCCCAAGAGCCCGGTGGGCGGCGGCGCTCCCCAGGCCGCGGCCACGGCGCCTGCCGCCCTCGTCGCAGGAAACCCCGGTGGGGACGCGACCCCCGCGCCCACGGGCTCCGCGGCCCCCGCCGCTTCAGCCCCCGCCGGCGGTGAAGACGCGGAGAAAAAAGTTCTCGGTGAGTCAGTCCCGGGAGTGTGGGGCTGCTCCGGGCGGGGCTGGCAGCAGCCGGCTGCCGAGCACGTGTGGGCATCTCCAGCTGCATTCCCCCTGGGGAGGGGGCTCCGTGCGGGTTCCCTGGGAGGCCGGGGCCCCAGTGCAGGTGGCTGCAGCCCGCCGGTGCTGCAGGCCCTCCCAGGTGGGCGCGTGGCGCCCTGCGCTCCTCGCCGCCCGGTGCGCGTCCCTCTTGGTCCTGGGCCAGCAAGTTGCGTCTCAACTTTGGTCACTGTCGCACGTTCCCGAAGTGGGGAGTGCCTCGGTCCAAAGAGAGAGGAGCGGCACTCTGGGAGCGGACCCAGGGTGGGGATGGAGGTGGATGTCGGGGAGAACAAACACGTGGGACGGAACTTTGGAGTCGCTGCTTAGGATCTGGGTGGGGAGAGGATTTCCTCTGGGGAGGAGTGAGGCGCTAGTAGGAGACGGAAAGGGAAGGTGCAAAGGCTTCTTGCTGGGGAGGCTCAGGTGTCCGTCCCTGACGCCCTTCCCACATTGGCGTGCTTCTGTCGGCCACATGCTGGGAAAGGGGTGTTGCAATCCTCTTGGGTCTTGGTCTCGTGTCTCCCTCCCTCCCTGTGCCCACTGCTACGAGGAACCTGTTTCACTGTTTACCAATCTCCACACGTTTTCCTTTTTCTGGACTGTGGGAACGCACTTGGTGCAGCAGCTGGAAGAACGTCGTAGGAAGTGTGGGTATGACGTTTGTTCAGTACATCGTTATCTTAGGACTTGTAACTTCGGAAAGGAAATAGGCAGATAAGACGTCCAGGTTTGGGGTGGGGGGTGGAGCATCAGAAAGGGTTTCTGTGGTCGCGGTTGGTTTTGTCACATACTACATTCAGCCTTCTCTCAAGTAACGCCCTGTATGAGGCCTTAATGAGGCTTTCAAAGCAGGTGGGTGGAGAATAAGCTTTCTCAAGGGTGTGTGCCTGTATCATTCACTCTGTTTTAAACAGGAAAGTTAAGAGATGATGTAGGATGCTTCAGAGAAATGTTCAGTATTTTGGGTGGGGTGTGTTGGATCTCTCTTCGTCTTCCCAGTTTTCTAGGAAGAAAATTAAGGGAATAATGTGAAGAAAGTAATATGAGTCCATGTTCCCCACCTTGAGAAGCCTGTTTTCTTGTTTTACTGTTACTACCAACAACATGCTAAAGGTAACCTGTGTAGGTTAAGGAATAAAATAGCCCTCATTTTGCTGGAATTTTAAAAGTTAAGTCTCGTGGGTATTGAACTGTGGTATTTCCAACAAGTGTCTTTTGGAAAACTTCATGCCAAATGTCTGAGAGAGACAACTTTGGGTTATCCAAAAAGGTGTTCAGATCTGTCCATTTTTATTTATTTATTTTTTTTCTGTTATATAAAGGGAATTTTGTGGTTTTTCACTTAATCCTTCTACCTTTCTGGATCTAAACTAACCTTTTGGATTGTCAAAGATGAAGGAAACAGATAAAGTTAATTTTGTCAACCACCAATTGCTCTTAAGCCTCTACCACATCCTGATGACAAGTCTGGAAGTCTTTCATCTTTCCACTGTAACTCGGACTCTCAAAACGAAGGAAAGTCTTATACATGACATTTTAACACTGTCTCTGTCCACTGTGTTCTGCCATCTCCTTTTCTTTGCCAACCAAACACATGGGTGCCCAAAATGTGCCAGGCACAGTGCTGACTGAAATGGAATTCGGGTTTTGGAATCTCCCATTCTAGTTTTTACAGACAGTCTTTAACTTCAGTGTACATATAGCCAGCCCTGGCCAGGAAAAGTAGTTTGCCTGAATGAAAGGAAACAAGACTCCCTTCTGATGAGCATTATGGAAGCCATAAGATTATCCTCTCTCTGCCCATCATCGCTCTTTGTATATGTGAGTGAGTTTATCGTTTTAGAGCAAGAAGTGTGCATGAATGTGTTTGGCCATATGAAGTCGCTGAAAATATTTGTGGGATTAGGAAAAAATTTTAAAGCTAGATTGGGGAGTAAAAGAACCTTTGACCTTGATTGAAGTTAGACTTGCAAATCATTTTTTTTTGTTTTTTCCCCCTATTTGTGTTGCCTTTGTAATCAAGGTTATTCCTTTGACAGTGGTTGGCATTAACTTAATATGAAAAGTGAGTCAAAAACGGTTCCTTTATATTTTCCTAGGTCATTAGCAAATGAACGCTGGCACAAGTGGCAAATCATTTGAAATAATGTATGGCTTAACAGCGTATGATTTATCAAAACAGGCCACTTCTGTGTACATTTGCATCTAAAACATTTTTTTTTTCTTCTTTGCCCTACTGCTCTAATTAGAATGGCCTAAAACTACAGATTCCAGTGGTTTGATCTCTCCATTGGGAAGGTCTTCCTTTCCTGGTGTCAGAGCCGGAGACTGCTCAGTCAGCAGTGGGCTGAATGACTCTGAAGGCATCAAGAGTAGTATATTTTTTCTTTTTATAAAGAGCTGAAATACTTCCTCAAGCATATCAATCTAGCAACACTCAGAATTAACCTTGCCCACAACAAAACAAGTCCTAATTACTATTTTGGTCTTGAGTCAAAAAACTTAATCCTTATTGTTTATCCTTGGAAATTATAAATTTTGTATCTCAGAGAGAGGCAGCATGGATTAATGTTAATTGTTATTTTCATTCTCTACTAAGTTTTTTTTTTGTTTTTTGTTTTTTTAAGGTACTCTATTGTCACATTTCCTGTTTCATTGACTCTTGATAATTGCTTTATCCATTTTCTGAATTTAGACGTAGGCATTTCCTAGAGGTGCTGAATTTGGCAATTCACAATTGATTTAAAGGAGTAATCTCATACTATTGGTTTTCTCTTAAGTTCTGTTAAAATCTGGTGTGCAGAAATGGTCTCACGCATGATGGAAAATAGAGACCACAATCAAGTTTAAGAGGGGGGTTTTATAGAAAATGCTGAGTTAGATTCCCACCAACTGCAGAGAGCAGAGTAAACAATGAAGCAGAAGCCCAAGTTCATCACTGGTTTGGAAAGGCCTGTTACATCATGTCTCTAGGTAGTGAGTACACAATGAAACAGCATCAGTTCTTTTTTTTTTTTTTTTTTATCCTCACCCGAGGACATTTTTTCATTTTTTGTTCAGATAGAGCGGGAGGGAGGGGGGAGGGAGAGAGACACCCGCACCACCCAACCAGGGCGGGGACAAACTGCAACCGAGGTACATGCCCTTAGCGGGAACCGAACCTGGGTCTCTCTGGACCGCAGGCCGACACTCTAACCACTGAGCCAAACTGGCCAGGGAGAGACAGCATCAGTTCTGTTACTACACTTGACTCTTCTGATAGGCCCCCAACTGGCAACCAGAAAAGTTACTTTATGTTATATCTTTGCAGATTAACTGTTAACAAGGAGTTGCTATTTCACTTAATGAAGTTTGCCATTATTTCAGTATGAAAGTGATAAGTTAAGGTCATTTGTACTTACCTTGTTCATCTATCTACATTTTCTTGTGACCCTTCTACACTTTGAACATTTTTCAGTGTTCAAACTTTCAAGAACACAGTTTTTGTTTTTCCTTAAACAGTGTTACCACTCCTTAACTTACGACTTTACTGAAAAATTTAACAGGGGAGAAAGATTTATTCTTCCAAAAAGTATTTTTCTGTAATATCTTCACTTGCTCCATTTTCTTTTTCTAATACATTTTGGAGTTAAGCTTTTAATGATTTCCTCAGGTGTGTTTAGGCTTTGTACAATGCTATCAAGACTTAACGTGATATGAGCTTTATCTCTTTGTAGGTCAGCTACTAATTTATCTGCTTAATCCTATTTTAGCCACCAAAGTCCTTGGCACTGTCAAATGGTTCAACGTCAGAAATGGATATGGATTTATAAATCGGTATGTGTATCTCTACATGTTTCAAATACATACTTATGTTGTGGTACCAGTAGTTATAAATTCTTTACCATGCTTTATTAATGACTTGTATAAGTTTTAAGATTTTTAAGCACTGTAAATATTCTTATTTCTAAGCTACTGGTCATTAAATATTAATTGGAATACATTTTCAGAACACTGATAAGCAGCTTCTTTTATAAAATCTAGTCATAAAAGAAAAAAGGGGGGGCGGTCAGAAGTGGAAGGACCTAGAGTAGTAATTGAGTTTACATACATAATTTCAGAGATGGAGAAATGGAGTCTTAGACTTGTTAAGCAACTACCCTAAGGTCACACAACTAGTGTGTAACTGAGCTGGAACTGTCACCCAGGTCTGGTCCAAGTCCTGTGTAGAAAACTGCAGTGTTTTCTCTAAACCGTGGTAACTTCTTACCAAATAGGAATGAGAATCTAAGTGCAGGCTGTTGTTGGGAGTGTTAATGTTTTTACATGATATTAGCTCCGCCTCCCATCTTCCCTGCTTCTTAAACAGAATTTCTCCAGTTTCTTCCTTGTCTGTTTTGGTGGGGGGGCAGAGGGAATGAGTTAGGGTAGGGAGGGGGCACTGTTTCTGGTTTCAGTGTAAGGAGAGCCTAGTTCACAGCTGTGCCCTGCCCTTTTAACTGTCTTGCTTTGCTTTTGCTGGGAGGGAAATCTGGGGCTCTGATTACATACCACGTGACTTAGAAAGAGATGAGAGGAAATGGATAGTTCTGTGTGTTGAATCTGTACGCTTCATCGAAGCACTGTGGTCATGTGGAGGAGTAAGGTGGGTATCTCGGGGTTTTAGAAATGTTCATTGAGGATTGATTCCAGGCATCTGAATGGAGTATAAAGGATAAACAAAAACTTACATTGTGTTTGGAAGTCTTGGAATCTAAACTCATAAAACATTTATTCTTTGTACGTTTCTTTCCCCCCCAAGTACCTAGTACCTTTTAATTGTATTCTTTTTGTCTTTCAACAGAAATGACACCAAAGAAGATGTATTTGTACATCAGGTAAGATGGGTAATCAGTGTTACATTTCATATGTGAAGAGAGGGGTGTCGGTAATGTGCTGACGTGCCATTCCCAAATGCAGTCATGTACATTATTATTCTACCCTGAACTCTTTTAAATGTTTTGAGAATATGTTTATCAAAGCTGGGGACCGTGAAACACAGAAGGGCCTAGGAGAGAAGCGACAGGAGAGCCCAGGCGGGGCTGCCGTCAGCCCACTGGAGAGTCAGAGAAAAGGGGCCATTGCTCCCCTGGTTGCAGGTCTCGAGGGGTCCTTTAAGAGTTTCGGGGATGCCGGCCTGTGGGGGAAGAGGGGGAAGGGAAAGGCGCAGGCGTGCCCCTGGGAGAGAGTGTGCACTACCCTAAACTCTTTCTGTGATTTTATTTTGTCAAGAGAGCTTAATTCCACATTTTAAGATTGGCAAATAAGCCCTTCTGTACCCTCATAGTAACTGTTTTCAAACAGTTTTTATTTTTGAATGGCATGAAAGTGATATTTAGTTAGATCATTTTTAAATTTTCAAAGCCTTGGAGTTCTTAGCAAAACCCCTGTTTCTGTGTTGGTGTTCTGTCCTCCTGACTGTCTCCCCCTTTGTGTTTGGCTAGAAGCCATCTGACTTTTGCCTGGGTGGGTGTTGGTTAAAGCTCCTCTCTCAGAGCAGCTCTAATTCGAAGTAAAGGTGTGTGTGTAAGGACCCGAGAAAACTCCCATTTCCAGGATAGTCCTCATCCCTGTTAAAGGGAGGCATGGTGAGCACGTGGCCAGGTCAAAAGGCCCTTGGATTCTAAGCAAGTGCAGAAAATGAGAAGCCCATATGGAAAATATGGGCTTCTCTGTTACAGGATCTCAGTCTTTCTTTACATTATTAGCCTAGGATATTATTTATTCTATTATCATGTATTCTGGACTTACTTTAAAAGTAAGTTAAAATAAAAAATACCTATCCTTATTGTTCTTTTTGTATATTCAGTTTTCAATGAATTGTATCAAATATGTTGTATATAGTGTATAACAATAGGGAAGCATCGAGGCAGGTACTGTTACTAGCAGATTTACCTGCAGGGCTCTGTCAAGCATCTGGTTTGCAGTGTTGTCTTCATTTAGAAGATGGGGGGGGGGAGTTGGGGTGTGGTGTGGTGACTGGAGATAGTGACAGCTAAGAATAAACTCTCTGGTTGTGGTTTCTGTTGTTTATATGTCTGCCTGACTAGATATATTTCAGTTGTACCTAAATAACTTGGATAGATTTTTGTGTGTGTGTGTTCACATACAGTGACTTTTTAAAGTCATAACAGACTGACAGGAAGTGTTGCTTATACCAAGAGGCTACGGACCTTTTGGGGTAAGAACTCCGAGTTTGGTGACTGCTGGAATAAAAGGACCTCACAAGTTTCTGTGCTGGTGGCCAGCTTTGTTAGCCTGTGAGTAAGTGTGTGACCTGATTCCAGCCCCTGGGAGGCTGTGTGGTGAGTCACCTCCCTGTGTTGAGGCCTGCCCAGTTTAACAGGAAAAGGGGAAGGAGCGAGCCTGCAGGGAGGGGCTGGCTTTGGAGTGGCTGAGTGTTGAGCTGCCTGCGCGCGCATGTATCCTGTCCTGAACTGCCTTTTTCCTCTGTGGGTGAAGTCTCCACTCTATTGGCTCATTCTTTTATTTTTTTTCCCCTCCCTCCTACTCCAGAGTGAGGGAAGGGCTGGATTACACATGCCTAATCGCTTTATAAAATAAGGTTGACCTAGTTCCATAGAAACTCAGAGCCCCTTTAACTGCTTAGAGATACCAACTGAAGGAATGGAAATACGTAGCAGGAGTTACTCCACGTCCTTTAACTTGTTGAAAAGGAAAAGTCTGTTCATAAGCAGATATTTAGGTGCAGATGTTTAATGCAGGGTAACATCTTTATTAACCTTTTAATGTATGGTCAGGGACATATGCATGGCACGATGGGGAAAATATTGAATAAATATATTGATGCAGCACAGGGATGTGAATTCCCCTATCTATTCCCCACCCACCCTTTCTGCAGGCCGCATTGTGAATATGACCTCAGATACATCACTTAGTAGCCTCATGTTTCCTCATCCATGAAATGGGTGGTAAGGTGGGCGAAATGACAGATTATCAGTAATGTTCTGATTCCTGAAATAATTTTGTATATTTTATTCAGAAATACTTACCCCTTGGCATTTTCTAATTCCTTTTTTCTATTCATCATCTCCCCTCCCCTTCACACATTCTTTAATATTTTTTGAGGTTTGCAGTTTTTCTGCAGAAACTTTATACCTAAAATGTGTGCTTGGTCCTGGCCAGTGGGACTCAGTGGTTAGAGCTTCGGCCTGCACACAGAAGGGTCTTGGGTTTGATTTCCGGTCCAGGGCACATATCTGGGTTGCAGGTTTGATCCCTGGTCCTGTTCAGGGTGTGTCTCACATCCATATTGTCTCCCTCTTTTTCTCCCTTTCTCCCCCCTCCTCCTCCTTCATTCCTTCCCTTCCTCCCTTCCATTCTCTCTCAAAATCAATGGAAAAAATATCCTTGGGTGAGGATTAAGAAAAAATAAAAATTAAATTAAAAAAATAAAATTTGTGTGTGTGAGAGAGAGATTTCATAAAAGCACCTCCACACAGACATTAATGGAGCTACATTCTGAATTGTAGATGATTACTAGATGAACGAATATATCCAATATCATGACTGGGTGATCAGGCTGTAACAGAAACGTAACTACACGTTCGGTTTAATGCACCTACCAACATGAATTTTGAAGGATAACATGAATCAAGAAAGTAATAGTGTTTTTTTGTTTTGTTGTTTTAGAGATTTAGGTTACCAGGAGAATGATGATCTTAAAAAGTAATAATAGCTCAACATTTCTTCAGTATACCCAGTAAACTTGAAAGCAGTGAAATGCTACCCATACTGACATATACTGTATTTAGAATTTCTCTTCTCTTTACAGACTGCCATCAAGAAGAATAACCCACGGAAATACCTGCGCAGTGTAGGAGATGGAGAAACTGTAGAGTTTGATGTGGTTGAGGGAGAGAAGGTGAGGGAAGGTGGCGGTTGGTACTGCATACTGGCGTTTTCTGTCTGAGTAATTCACACTACTTTGGATTTTGTTGTATAATAGGAAGAAGTGACTTTTAAGTAGAAATATTTTTGATTATTGGGTGTTATAGATATTCTTAGATATATAATAAAGGGAAAAGTTAATTTCTCATTAAAAACGGTAAACCCTATTTAATTATGGAAGGAGAAACTCAATTTTCAAGATTTAAAATAATGTTTTCATACTAAATATTTTAAAAATAGATTAAAATTTAACTTGTTTCATACGAATAAAATTTTCAGGCTGTGATTTTTAATAGTATAAGTGATACACAGTGAAGAGTGTCTTAATTTCAATGAAAGAAGATTCAGCCCAGCCGGTGTGGTTCAGTGGTTGAGATTGCTCGACCCATGCACAAAGCGGTTTCCGGTTTGATTCCTGATCAAGGCACATGCCCAGGTTTGGGGCTCAGTCCTTAGTAGGGGGAATACAGGAGGCAGCCAATCGATGTTTCTCTCTCATCAATGTTTCTCTCTCTCTACCATTCCCTTCCTCTTTCAAAATCAATGGAACAAACATCCTCTCTCTAAAAAATAAAAATCAATAAAATCATATTTAAGAAAAAAAAAGAAGATTCAAATTCAATATAATCATTGTGTTTTCTGTTTGGCTTTGATTTTGAAAAGCTGAAGTCTTCATGATGGACTGTATAACAACTTTGTTCAGATGGAGCTAATTGATCATCTTGAAATGTATCTCCAGTTTTTTTTTAATGCTGTTATATATTTAACTCCAATATTAGCAATGTCCTCTCTGTTTTGATTTTAATCAGCAGTCTGTTACAGATATCAGTAAAACAACATAGCATTAAAAAAATTAAAGCCATATATGGTATAGCCACTATGGCAGTTAATCATGGCAGCTGAATTATAAACTAACCAGGTGAATGACTAGTTAACTCCCATGCATGTGCTTTTTCCACGTAAATACATACCATCGCATAGTCTTACTTTCTTAGTGGCTCCCAAACTGTTCTTTTTTTTTTTTTTTTCCTTTATTGATTTTAGAGAGAGAGGAAAGGAGAGGGAGAAAGAGATAGAAACATCGATAAAAGAGAACATCAAGTGGTCACCTCCTGCATACCCCTCACTGGTGACTGGGCCCACAACCTGGGCATGTGCCCTGACCAGGAATCGAACCAGCGACCTCTTGGTGCATTGGTCGACGTTCAACCTGTGAGCCACACAGGCCGGACACCTGTTCTGTTTTAAAAAGAAAAATGCTTTATTTCATTTGATATAGTAATTTAAATGATGTCTTTACTGATTTGATTCCCAGGGTATCTTGCAAATCTCTTGGAGTTTCAAATCACCCTCTAGTAAATGCTGGCCTGTAATGATCTCTAATATTTTGTTTTGTGAGATAACATCACCTCTGTGTTTTTTGGAACTGGAGGTTTTACAGATTGATGTAGAGTGTGAAATATACTCTTTTGTGTCATTGTTTAATTTTTTATATGTTTGAAGCATTATTTTATTCATTTGTCCATATGAGAATAAGAAGACTAAGTCTGCTCTTAGGATAATAGGGGAAGGTGTGTGGAATTTATTACTAAATCAAGGACCCTTCTTTCCCTTTGTGCCAACTTTCACTCTTGGTCATTGCTGGACAGAGGCACATGAGCCCACGAATAGGGACTCTCTTGGTACCTCTTAGAGTAACGTAGCTTTTGACATTTTCTCGGAAGATGCCATTATCTCAGTTGTTTTCCACTGAGGAGTATCCTTGCTGATCTAGTGTTACTTCTTTTACAGTTGTGTTATATTTACCAGTTTGTGTTCTTCAAAGAGGTACACACTGCTCTTGAACTTAGTATGACCAAACAGGAAGGCAGAGCTTCGGCTATGTGAGCAAACAAGCTGTATACATCAAATACCTTGCTCACCTCATTAAAACTTGGGTATATTTTTGAGGTCTAACAATAGGAGTGTTAGTACGTTCTGCCAGTCTAACACTCTGGCTGTCTAAGGCTGTTATGGGGGAGGGTTTAGCTTCTTCTGAATTTTGAGGCTGTCTATTTTCTACCTCAGGGCGCTGAAGCAGCCAATGTGACTGGCCCAGATGGAGTTCCTGTAGAAGGGAGTCGTTATGCTGCTGATCGGCGCCGTTACAGACGTGGCTACTATGGCAGACGCCGTGGACCTCCCCGTAATGTATGTTGGTCTCTCTTCCTAGTCAGTGATGGGAAGAATGTTTACACCTAAAATTAAGTGCACATACTTAGAGCAGATAAATACTGTATCTTTTTTTTTTTTTTGATGGGAAACATTTTGTGCCCATTATTTATTCATAGCCACAGGTCTCATTAGAGAAACTTGCCATTGAAAAGTTGCATCTGTTTGTATGTACTTGGCTGCAAGTAACAGACCTTTAAGTACATTGTACCAAGAAAGCTTCATTAAGGTAGGCTGTGCCAGGGTTGTCCAAAAAGGCATTCTCTTCACCGGGCTTTTTCACCTGAGCAGAACCTAGTCTTAGGGCAGTCACTGTAAAGGGGAATGGGATTCCCATGATTGGCTCAAACCTGTTGTTTTATCCCTTGGCCTTGGCACTGTTGACCTCTAAGAAAATCATTGGTTGGCAAGGAAGAATGGGGATAGCTTGGGAACAGGCAAACAGTTTGGGCCACAGAAATACTACATTTACTTTAAGTAAGTGGCTGTTTTATTTAGCATAGCATTTACTTTATGTTAAAGTAAGGAACTAGTAATTCTCTGGATTTTAGTTCTTCAGATTGGTGCCAATCCAGGTGAAAAGGTTTACAACCAAGTCTGGCTAGAGCTTTCTCAGGAGGCTCAGTGTAAATACTTCCAAAGCGCCCAAAAAGAATGCCACTCATTTGTGGTCATGAGGATTCTATAAATTTGAGTCACTTTTTCATGTGTCTAGAATTAGTACCTGGGATTGACACCACAGAATAAAACTCATGATGTTTTGAGAGCACGGGATTGTGGCTATGTCAGTCACCCAAGGAAAACTTTTGAAAAATCTCACCAGGATAAAATATCTGCAGATGGAGAATGGTTTTATTTCCACACTTTGATAGATTTACATCTCTCTGCTTTCCCTCTTCATTGTGTCATCTTCACCCCCTGCCCACACTGACTTTTATCAGATTGCTTAAGATATCTTGTTTTACTCTTTCTGTGTTTTTCTAACCCATGTTTTGCTTATTCTGTTTTTGTTTTTGTTTTGTTTTTTTAAAATAATAAGCTCTGTAGAGGGTGGAGGTAGGAATGAGCTACTGTAGCACTTACTGCAGCAGGTTAACTCAAGTTCATCAGCCTCCCGAAGCTCTAGTTGTGATGATTTTGATTCCTAGGTTAATTTGGAAATAAAAATGGAAGAACCTTTAGTGAAAATTTTTCCTTTAATGACTTTTCTCCTCAGCTGGAAATTTGAAGTCTTGCATGTTAAAGATATTTAGAACTGTTAAAATTCTGAAAGTGTACATAAATGAAGTTTTTCTGTCATAACGTTTTTTAAGTCCTTAGAGTTCAAGATGTTTGGTTATTGATGCTGCCGTTGTTCTTGTGAAAAATGAAAGATTTGGCTGTATACAACTCAAAAAGATGCGGAAAAGTCTAAGAGAAAAACTGCTTACGAAGTCTCACACTTAATATTTTGGTGAACGTTTTCTATGCTGTGTCTTTATGTAATTAGGGATCATATCTGATACAGGTTTTACGAAGTGTAGAATGGCCCGATCTGCCTGAAATTAGACTAGCTCAAGGTTCGTTGAAGCTTTTCCTGTTGGGGAATTTAGTTGCCCATGTGGGCTTGAGCTGGAGGGTTCTAAACTTACATATCCTCACCTTCCAAAGGAAACAGGCCATTAATTGTTGATTTTTAATTTATTTATTTTCAGGAAATGTAGTTATTTCTCTTAAGACTGCCTTTGGCATTTGCATATCCCCCTTTAAAGTAAGATTTAAAAAATTATTTGAGGGATGTTTGTTTTTATTTTTAAATATGAAATACTAGTATATGATATGGTAGTTTAAATACAGGAAAGATTATACAATGAGTCAATGATTCCCTTTGTTAGTAAGACCTATATTTAGAAACTACCTGTATCTATTACTTACCACCATCTGTTAAAGTGCAATTAAAATTTTATTCTTAAACATTTAAAGAAAAATCATGCCATAAGTCAGTGGTTCTCAAACTTTTTTGGTGTTTGGACCCATTTATATGCTCAAATATTATATTGAGCATATAATACCTTTAACATTTATTATATTAGAAATTAAAGCAGAAATTTCAAAAATATTCAGTTGATGTAAAATAAACTCATTACATGTAAATATAAATAACATTATTATGAAAACTGTATATCTTAAAATTGAGAAGAGTGGTGTTGCTTGATATGTTTGCAAATCTCTGATGTTGGGTTTACTAGAAGACAACTGAATTCTCGTATCTCCTGCATGCAGTCTGCTGGGAGACCCCATCACACACTGACGAGGAGATGGGAACAGGCACGTGGCATCTTCATAGCATTATGAGAATAGTTTGACCTTGATAATCCCCCGAAGGGTAACAGAGATCCTGTCCACACTTCGAAAACAGCTGCAAGACGTATACCATGTAGAACAAACTGTTGATAACACTACAAAATAGATTTTTCTGCCCTGACTTTGCCCCAGTGGATGGCAAATGTTAGGAGAGACACCTGTGGCTGAGCTCAATATCATAAACATTGTAGATATTCTTTGGGTGGTTGGTCAGCTGATATTCGTCAATCCTAATGAGATGATTTAAAGTTATTATAGATTGATTGCTTTTGCTTCTCTGCTTCCTGGTATTTATCTGCACAGATCTATTTTAATCTTAATGTAGTTTATCCCAGGTAATCACATGATGATCTGGGTTAAATGCATTTTGTCTGTATGAAAAAGGATTATTCCTTTGGGGAAGATATTTTTCTTTTGGTGATATTCATCCTAAGTGGTATTCTTTGGTTCTTTCCTTGCTGAAACTTCTTCTGAATCTCTGTTTCTTTGCTTCGCTAGTACGCTGGGGAGGAGGAGGAGGAAGGGAGCGGCAGCAGTGAAGGATTTGACCCCCCTGCCACTGCCGGGCAGTTCTCTGGGGCCCGGAGTCAGCTGCGCCGCCCCCAGTATCGCCCTCAGTACCGGCGGCGGTTCCCGCCTTACCACGTGGGACAGACCTTTGACCGCCGCCCACGGGTCTATCCCCATCCCAACAGAATGCAGGTAAAATTGCACCTGGGACTTCTCTTCAGCAATCCTCACCCCTCCGTCCTTCCTCTGCCTCTTCCTCCTCCTCCTCCAACACCAGCTGCTGGAAACAAAACCTTGCTTGTGGCTTCCTGGTGCTACAAAAGCTGAGGCAAGGCCTGTAGTCTTTCATTCTAGTAATATTTCTAAAAACACAAGCACATGAGCCATGCCTATAATTGGGGACCCTGGTGGGTAGGTTATAGTTTCTAGCTTATGGAAGAATAAAAGTGGAGAGACCATGGTGTGCATAAAAGCTGAAAGTCCGAAGTCAGACAGGCCTGGATTTGAATCTTGTCTCTGCTACTTATTTGTGAGCTTTTAAAAAAACCAAACTTTAGAGAGATTGACTCGTTCGTCCATTAAATGGTGGCAATAAGGGGCCCCTACCATGGGGCTTACAATGATTAAATTAAAGGTAATGCTTGAGTGCGATGCCTCAGGATAGTCAACATATATAAAGTCCTTAATTTAGATGAGATGGTATTTATTGTTCAGAGGAGATTGTTGATTATTGATTTATTCCTTTTTTTTTTTTTTAACCACAAAATATTGATGACAGCTATTGTGAACTTGACCTATAAATTTAAGCCTTATACCAACTTTGCAGTCCCTGGAAACTTGGAAAACTTAGGTTAGGATATCATTTTTGTTATTACTAGCTACAAACATTTCCTCGTAGTGTCCTTGTGTTGTTTTTCCACCAAGTGTTTTGACTGAACATTATGTTCAGTCTGTTCTTTGCTACCCTTTCTCCTGTCCCATCATGCATGACTGTGTTCTTTCTACATTGCTTCTTGTTTTTTTCTCTTCTGCTCTTTAACAGCTGTCCATGACAAATGTGCTAAAAATAGCAAGTAGACTTACGTATATGGAGAGCTCGGGTACATGAGGCATAGTAGGTTTCTTTAGGGCAGCACTTTGGGCTTCTAGGAAGTGAAGACAGGAGTCGGTGAGATTGTAATCCACGTTTATATTTAGTATGTTAGTAGTACCTTCCTGAAATAATCATTTTTAGTATTTAGCATATGCACATGCCATATTTTTTGAGAGCATAATGATTCTTTACTGCATTGTTTGAAATGAAGTATATTTCACCTTAGGACTTGAAAGTTGAAAGCAAAGTGATTCTTTAGTACCACGTAGAACATCATTTGCAGAAGCTGGTGGAGAACTGATTTTAAAAATATATGCTTATTCTGAGAACTGCATGTAGTTGTTTTCACTTGGGCTGAAAGTCTTACTATAGAGTCCATATCCTAAGTAAAAGATGTCTTAGACTTTTTTCCAACAGTTTTCCTTAGACTCTTTCTAATGCATACCATGTTTGACATTCACTGAGTTAGAGGTCTGTAAGCTAACCAGTAGCATCAAGTGAAAATTCCTAAAACTTTCTTCCATCAAACTAGGCTACTTCAAGGTTGTCAGTGTAATGTCTTAAACGTCTAGAGAGATCTCTATATGGTAAAAATTATTGAGGTCAAATAGAAAGTTTTTCCAACATTTTCTACTATATGCAGAACTCTAACATTTATTCGGCACAACAGGAAAAAAAATATATATATATACAGGCCAGTAGTATGTCCCTTATGTACCATTTAGTCATTCAGTGACCAAATGACTTCCATTGTTTTAAGATAATAATTCTGTGTGTTTGAAAATTAAGTAGAATTGGTCACTGAACTAATATAAACTGTAGTCTTTGAGAAAATAATTTATTTTGCTAATCAAAGTTCCTGAGGAAGAGGCAACTTTGCTTTTTCAGAAAACTGAAGGGGGACTCGTGGGTTGGGATGGGATGAGTGGGGAGGAGAGGGCTAGGCGGTAAGGTTGGGGTGCTGGTTTAGGGCAGACCAAGCATGCCTGGTAGGCCATGGTAGGAACTGTTGGTGTACTGTGAATGTGATAAAAAAAAGCCAGTAAAAGAATCTAAACAGGGAAGCAACATTAAGGAGCTCATTGGACTGTTTCTAGAGACTGGACCCCTGGAGGCAACATGTAGGGAGATCAGCTCCTGAACTTTCCCTGTGGAGAGCGGTCAGGCATGGATTGGAGTCTAGCAGTGGAGGTGTGATAAGAGGTCAGATTCAGGAAATGTTTTCAACATAAAAATGATGGCACTTGATGTTGGAGTGAATGTGTGATGTTAGGAGTGAAAGATGCCTCTAAGGTTTTTTATGTAAGCAAATGTAGGAAGACTGAAGAAAGATCAGGTTTGGAGGAGGGGTGGAAATCATCAGGAGGTCTTTTCCTCACATCAAATTTTGTCTCCGAGTGGAGATATCAGGTAGGCAAAAATGAAATACAGAAAACAAAGCAGAGTCAAGAGGTAGAAAGTGGCTTGAGTTAAGATGGTGTCATTTTCAGTACGGTGGCTGACAGTCGTTGGTGCTCTATTTGAGCAGAGACCTGGGGAAGCACAGGGGCGAGTCATTGGGGTGCTGGGAGTGGCGTGCATGGCAGAGGGCTTGGCGAATGCAGAGGCTGAAGGGAACCTGGAGGAGAGAGATGAGACTGTACATACAACTTTGGAGACGAAAACATATTGAAAGACAGGGTGTAGGATGAGATTAACTATAACACGAGTGTAGGTAGAAAATGGGTCCTAGGACTGGGTTCAGAGGCATACCAAACGGTTAGAAATTAGGAAGATGGGAGTCTAACAAGTGATAATGGGAAGGAGCAGATATAAAAATGCATTTCAACAAGGACGTGCTGTGTTAAATGCTGCCAAAAAGTGGAGGAAGTTAGGTTGAGAATTGATTACTGTGTTTTGTAACTTGGAGGTTAGTGATATGGTAAGAACAAAAATATGATTAGAATGAATTCGAGAGAGAGCCAAAGGGGAGGAAGTAGAGGTATTTTCTTCCCCTTTGAGGAGGTTTCTGTGGTGGCGATGATGGGTTTTCTTTAGTGTATATGTTTGTAAAGGAGTTCAAAGAAATGGGGCCGTATCTGGAGGAGGATATAAAGTTAGGGCAAGGTTTGGGGTTGATTTCATTTTGTTTTTACATTGAGTGAGTTCTGTCCTGGTTTCCCTTACCTCTTCCCTCACCAGCAGCTTACTCACGATGCATTACATGGGCAGATCAAATGCCACATACTCATACACTCATTTATATGTGTGTTGTTTATAGTGTGTATGTGCATATATATTCATGTGTGTGTTCCTTATTTCCTTATTTCTGCTCACTGAAATCAGTGACAGTTTGATAGCATTGAGCTTCCTAAATACCAATAAAAGGAAGTTCCTTTGGAGAAGTGGCTGATTTCAGATCTGGGCCAGAGAAAGCACAATATGAGCCTGGAACATCTTGTTGTGCCAGAAAGCAAGGAAGTACTCAAAGAATTTTGGAGACATGTCGAAAGGACATGAGACAGCTTGACTGTGTTCCCATTGGCCAGTAATGATAGTAACAGATTATAACCCATTGAATAAAGTAGAAAACTATGAGTCTGTACAGATATAAATGAATGAATGAGTAAGTGAATGAATGAATGAACATATTGAGAATTTGATGAGGAATGAAGTATTTACAGACTTAAAACGCATTTCACAAAATCTCCCTAAATTACAAAGGGGAAAGACTAAACCCCTAGCAGAAGAGCCTTGGCAGACACCACCCCAACTAGTGCTCACCATGAACACTGTTGCCATCCGACTGGCTGGATGCAGTGTCCCTTCTGTGGGTTCCCTGCCACCCGTGCATAAACTGTAGTGTGGGAAACACCAGGCAGTCTACACCGAGGTGTATTTTATGGAACATCTGGCCTGTAATCTTTAAAAGCATCACGATCATGGAAACCAAGTAGGAATTGAAGGACTGCACCAGAAAGACAGACAACTAAATCCAGTGCATGGTTCTAAGTGGGTCTTTTTGCTGTAAAGGATATTATTGGTGAAACTTGAAACGATGGGTGGTGTTTCAGCATGTTTCTGTGCCTGGATGGAAATGATGGAGTAGAAAATGGAGAATGTACACAGTGAAGGAGAGGTAAAGAGTTAACCGCCTCTCGTAGGGAAGAGAGGGGTTGGCTGTGGGTATGAGCTTGGACCGCGTACCAATGTAATGAGAGAGAAGAAAATTTCAGAGGTGGTTGTTGTTGGCGGGTGTGTTTGTCTTTATTCTTTCTTCCCTTGGGAGTTCTACAATAAAATTATTTCCCAAGCTTAAAATACATTTATTATCAAGGAAGTATATTTTACTTTTTAAATGTTATACTTAAATAAATAGTGCAAACAGATACAAGGAGGAAATTGTGAAAGGAAGAACTTAGAGGTGAAGGCATGGGTAAGAGGTGTCAGACAGGCTTTGAATGTGGAAATCATTAATGCTATTATTGAAGGCATACCCAGTTGATAGAATTAGTGGGTCTGAGTTTGAAAGGATTCTCACTACTCAAAAGTAGAACATTGCATTTCCTTTTACACAGTAGGTTTTCTTTCAAGAGGTGAATGGAGCACTTCAAAATGTTACATTAATGTTGTGAAATAAAATTAGTTACTCAGGAATAAGAAGACTCTTCTAGTGGGAGCGAGTTTTTCTTTCTTTTCTATCATTCACAGAGATTCGGTCAGTAAATAGTTCACTGTTACAGTTGAGAGTTCCCAGCTTTGTAAGGAAGCATTTATTTTTAACTTTTCAAAAAAATCCTGAATGCAGCTATGTGCTCTGTGTTTCCTATATCCTCTAGCATGGCGTTCATTTTCAGCCCTGTTCCCTTCTTCTAGGCTGGTGAGATTGGAGAGATGAAAGATGGAGTCCCGGAGGGAGCCCAGCTTCAGGGACCGGTTCATCGAAATCCAACTTATCGTCCAAGGTACCGTAGGTATGTAACATTTCACTCACGCCTGACCAGCTGAAGGGCTTGTGCATGACAGAAGAATGGATGAGGGTATTGTAGGTCTATTTTGTGGGTTTATCATGTAACAGAAGATGTGGCTGCTTTGTATGTCCAAGTTTGGTTAGGGACTCTGCAATATATGTTTTCAGGTGGCTTATGACATTGCCCCCCTACTTAAATCATTAAAATTTTTAGTTATCCCTGTACCAAAGCATTATTTGAATTTGATAACTTTTGCATGATATGAATTAATACTTATTTTTTAATTATATTTAATGAAATATGCAGGGATTAATTGAAGGGTAATTCAGTGGTAGTGCTACAAAGTGGTAGTGCTGGAGTGTGCCACAGAATATTTGGGATACTGAAAATTCTGTTGACTGACCAGTCTAGTGTAAGGGTTAAATTCGGCTATAGATGAAGTTGTCTGTCTGAATTCCCGCCCTACACTTAGTAGCTGTAACTCCTTTGGCAGGTTTGTGAATTCCCTGTCTGAATTCCCGCCCTACACTTAGTAGCTGTAACTCCTTTGGCAGGTTTGTGAATTCCCCAAGACTTAGTCACCAGGCCTATAAAATGGACATTGAGGAATGTTCTACAGTTGTCAGTAGGGTTCAATGTATAATGCATCTAACTAAGATGATTAGTGTGGTGCCTGGTATATAGTAAGTGCTCAATAAATATTAAATAGCCCAGCCAGTGTGGTTCAGTGAGCCTTGACCATGCCAAGAGGTCACTGGTTCAATTCCGGATCAGGGCACATGCCCAGGTTGTGGGCCCGATCCCCAGTGGGGGCATGCAGGAGGTGGCCATTTGATGTTCTCTCTCATCGGTGTTTCTCTTCCTTTCCCTCTCCCTACCTCTCTCTCAAAATCAAGAAAGAAAAAAATTTTTTTAAATAAATATAAAATATTGTTACTACCCATGATGTTAATGTTAGTGAAGGAGTGCGTTATTTTATTTGTGTTCTGTCCATGTGAAGACTGCAAATTAAGCCAGACCCTTTAAGACCCATTTTCAGTGTTTTATATTATAAGCCTTCCTGTTTACTTACCCTATCCTTGAGGTAAGTGAGAAAACGTCTTGATTCCTGAGTGACATCTATACCACCTTCAGGTTTGGCAATACCGGGTATATTGAAAGGAGAGTTACGGGTATTATTGGGGAAAGGATTTGTACCACTCTGCTTCCTTTTTCCTCACATGGTTCATTCCCGCTTTGGCCATAATCACTCTCATGATCAGTTACTGAGGACTTCCAAATAAAAGCAACTTCAGAGAAATGTCTTCATGAAAACCGAGGAGAACAGGACAGCACGTGAATCCAGCTCTGTCAGGTCCCAGCTGTGTGATCTTGGCAACGTTAGAGTTGACCTTTTTCACCTATGAAAGCAGCCAGTCCATGTGATTCCAACAAGTGCTTACTCTCTCCAAACCTCTTGGTTTTCTCACTGCAAATCTAACTCACAGAATTAGCATTGAAATCAAATCACTTACCGTGAAAACACTCCAGCACAGGCTCTGGCACGTGGTAAGTGGTGTTAGTTTTCTTCCCTTGTTTAATCCCCTTAGTCTCTGCTAAATTCGGTTCGTTTAGGGCAGATACCAGACTGCGTTTCTTCTTTGATTTTCCTCTTCTCGGTGGCTGTCAGAGTGGCCGGTAGGAACATAGTATGTGCTCAGCATATATTTATGACTACAGATAGGTTTTCAGATGAAGAGGGAAATGATGGAAACATTGGGTGTTTTCACCAAAGCTTGGTTCCATTTGCTGCATTGGCCTGTGCATAACTGAAGTGCCCGATCACTTGCCTTTTTAATCTCTAACAGTGAATGAAGCCTATGTTCTTGAGGACCCCGGTCTCGTCGCACTTTTTCTCTCTCTGTTTTATGCTCTCTCTTCTAGGGGGCCTCCGCGCCCACGACCTGCCCCAGCTGTGGGAGAGGCTGAAGACAAAGAGAATCAACAGGCGGCCAATGGTCCAAACCAGCCATCTGCTCGCCGCGGATACCGGCGCCCTTACAACTACCGGCGTCGCCCCCGTCCTCCTAATGCTCCTTCACAAGATGGCAAAGAGGTAAATGCAGCCAGTGGAGGGGGCGTTGCCAGGTTATCCTTAATCATGTCCAACTTGATTATTCTATTCTAAGAGTGGTGTTATCGTCTGATGACCAACACTTAAATATATATATATATAAAAATATGTGACTGTATATATAATAGTTTATGTAAAATGTTATTTATACATAACATTTATATACAATTATTTACACATAACAGTTTAATATGTAAGTAGTACATATTCACATATATATATATGTTTATATGTATATTAGCATTTCATTTAAGGTCCATCTAAGTTTAACTAAATGGACATTCTCTGAAAAAATTCCCGTTTTGGGGGGATTCAGAGCCAAAATGTTTAGGGCTGTCCAAACAAAGGACAGCATTTACAGAGGAGAACCTGCCTCTGGGTGCGGAAAGTAATTGCATATCATGGACTTTTTGTTAAGGAGACTGGTGGTGTTTTGCTGTTTGGAAGCCATTCCTCAGTGACACTGATTTTTGATGCATATTTGAGAGTAGATAATTTTTGCATAGCCATTTGCCTTCATGGGCCAAAGGATTCCCACTTTTGAGATCATTTTCATTTTGAACTTTCCACTGTTGCCTGAACTGATTCATTTCTGGTGTTTTGTGTTTTAGACCAAGGCAGGTGACGTGCCATCTGAGATCCCTGCTCCAGCCACCGAGCAGGGCAGTGCTGAGTGACACCAGGCTCCCGGGCACCTCCTCCACCAGCAGGTAAGAGCCTGGGCAGTCCAGGCTTAGGTTGGTATTTTCTTTTAAATGTCATTGATTTCTCAGCAATAACAGAAATTCATCTAAACTAGTTCCGGATTCACCTGGACCATTCATTCCCTCATCTCCATTGGGGTTTTGAAGAAAGAGAGGATTTGGTGGTTAAATATTTCTGAGTTTGACTTTTTTTTAGCTAGGCCTTAGGAGCATAAAGATTCAGTCAGAGTTAGAGCCAAATTCTATTTTCTAGACAGTTTTTATTTTAGTTAGTCCTTCCTTCCTTCCTTCCTTCCTTCCTTCCTTCCTTCCTTCCTTCCTTCCTTCCTTCCTTCCTTCCTTCCTTCCTCCCTCCCTCCCTCCCCCGAGGACATTTTTGCATTTATCTTCAGATAGAGTGGGAGGGAGAAAGGGAAGAAGAGAGAGGGAGAAACATCTATGTGAGAGAGACACATCGACTGGTTGCCACCCACAAGACCCCAACCGGAGCTGGGGACAAACCACAACCAAGGCTCGTGCCCTTAACAGGAACAGAACCCGGGACTCTCTGGTCCGTGGGCCGACACTCTAACTGCTGAGCCAAACCAGCCAGGGCCTGTTTTTAAATATTATAGTATTAATATGGTATACCAGGTAAGAAAACTATTAAAAGTTTTACTTTTGTGACACCTAGTGGCCAATTTGATAATTTTAAAGTTCTTGACCAGGCCTCATATTAATAACTGGAGACTGATTTGTAGAATAAACTAGATGGGTTTTTCCTTCCCTTCCCCTTTGATAAGCAACATTACTTATTTGGAGGCAGTTCAGGGCAGTGGGTATAAGCCAAGTGGTCTGTACATCCATGGCAGGATCTGCTGCTCATTTCTAGGTGATCTTGAGCAATTCATTTACTCTCTGCCTCAGTAATGTCTGCTGCTGGGAAAACGGGAACCCCAACTAGACTTACCACTTAGGTCCTTGCACAGACGTAGTGAGATGACTCCGATGAAGTGGTTAAACAAGGAGCAGGAAAGAATAACCTCTTTATAAAGGTTAGCTTATTACATTCGCTGTGGTTTCACTATTTTGTACGACTGTTCCGGTTTACAAAAAATCTGTTTTGAAAAGAGTTTTCATTCAATCAGTGAATAGTTTACAAATCTAGAGAAGATACATGTGTAGATTTTGTTTAGAGCTTTTGAAATACTGTTTTTTGAATTGCATGAAAAACGTTATTTTTGCCTTCTTATTCTTTAACTCTTGGTCATTTTGTCACTCTTTATAAGTTTGATTTTAATTTTTTCCAGGTGACCTAAAAAACTAATGACCATTCAAAAAATAAAACAAAAAGCAGACCATGACCTTACCAACACCAAAGAAACATCCAAGCAATAAAGTGGAAGACTAATAACCAAGGTGTGGACATTGGAATGTTTACAATTATTCTTTACAAAACAAACAAGTACAAAAGGAGAATGTCAGCCAATGTTTCCAGCATTTTTTCCGGGAATGCCTGCACAGAAGACGAGAGCAACCTCCCCAGTTTCAGCAGCCACTAGGTTTATATTTTTTTCCTGGTTTTTACTGTTTTGGTATATGAATTCAAAGAAGAGATATTAAAACCACATGGGGAGAACCCCAACCAAAGAAATCTGAAATATATAGTAAATGCTTTTTTTTTTTTCCCTTTTCTGTTCATTTTGGATGCTGGTGCTAAACTTCCAAGTGTCGTGATTTAAAAAGAAATTTTATGCCCTTATTTATTTCTAGGATGAGGGGAGGATAACATTTTTGCTTTCTTATGCGACTGTCTTTGAAAATGTGCAGCATGAAGTTCCTCAAAAATAAAATTTTTACCCTTGAAAGGAAAAAGTGTATAACTGGAGTATGTTTTCCTCTTTAGCATATGTTTTCTTTTTTCCCTCTCACTTCATTTACTCAATACCCTTGAACTTCCACCTCGAGGTTGTATTATATGTTTATATGTGTATCTTTCAGAAAGGGGGGGGGGTGCTCTTTGCAACCGCATTACAAATTTCTTCCCCCAGGGAATAGATGGTGCCCCAAGTTGAGAAACCAAGGTATACCTCAGTGCTGCGTGGAGAACTCAGACCCGCTGCAGCTTGCGGATTACTTGAATACACAGTGAGCCTAGGTGATGCAGGCACCACTCTGCTGGCTGGCAGGGAACAAATGAACAAGACTCGTCTCAATGAGTTTATTATATTTTGGTGAGTGAATATAGAGAATAAACAGATGTAAAATTAAATGTCAGGTGGCAGTAAATGTTATAAGGGAAAATGAATCAGGATAAAGGGATAGCACATGGCATAATTTCAGAGGGTATATTTATTTTAAGTAGAGAGAGGGGTCTCTCCTGAATGATAAGAGAATATATACACCGAGTCCTGACAGAAGGCCAATAACCACTTGAATCTCAAGAGAAGGGCATTCCCAGCAGGGGGAGCAGTGCAAAGACTGAAGAGGACCTGGACCAGGCCTAGCTAAGAAATGGCAAGCAGGAGAAAGTGGATTGTTAAGAACCTTGTATTGCCTTGGAAGCTTAAAAAGAAATAAAATTGGTAATATGCACAAGGCAAAATTATTCAAAGGTATAAAAAAGTATTTTATAAAAAATTCTCCAATGTTAGTCCTGGTTCCCTCAAGGCAACCAATTAGCATGTTTTTTTGTTTTGCTTTTTAAATTCACCCATTTCAGATACAAGTTTGTGTGTGTGAGTGTGAAAGAGATTGATAAACTGATCCAAATTCAGGGAGAGGGAAGGGTTTTTAACTATGGTTACGCTAATAATTTGACAAGCATTAGAAATAACTTTAAAATTCTGGTAACTTCACTGTCCAACTGATCCTTACTTAAATGTGTTTTAAGATGTAACATATGCTTCTTCGCACTGAGTTTTTTTTTCCACCCAGTATCTTTACTGTTTTTCCATTATCAGTGTGTAGAGTATGCTCATCATTTCTCCTGGCTATATAGCATTTAAAAAAAAATTTTAATCCTTACCTGAGGACATTTTTGCATTTATCTTCAGATAGAGTGGGAGGGAGAGAGGTAGGAAGAGAGAGAAACATCTATGTGAGAGAGACACATCGAGTGGCTGCCATCCACATGACCCCAACCAGGGCCAGGAACAAACTGCAACCGAAGTACGTGCCCTTAATGGGAACCGAACCTGGGGCTCTCCTGTCTGTGGGCCGATGCTCTAACCGCTGAGCCAAACTGGCCAGGGCTATAACATTTAATTATAGCTTTCCATGATGTTGTCCTCTCTTAACTTGATATTGAGGGTTTTTTTTTATTGTTTTTTTTTAATCTCCACTTGATATTTTTCCATTGATTTTCTAGATAGAATGGAAGGGAAGGGAGGGAAAGGAACATCATGTGGGAGAGATAAATCAATTGGTTGCCTCCCACATGACCCTGACCGGGGCCTGGGATCAAACCTACAACCCAGGTATGTGCCCTTGACCAGGAATTGAATCTGCGATGCTTTGGTCTGCAAGCTGACGCTCTAAGTGCTGAGCCAAATCGGCCAGAACATATTGAGGTTTTTTTTTAATTGCAATGATAAATGCTTTATCTCATATAATCCAACACCCTTGCTTCTAAATACCATCTGTTTCAGAATTACAGCTATTTCTATAGAAAAAACTTGAACAACACAGAGTTGGGAAAAAAACCCTTTGATCGTGGACATAAGTACAACCTGAAAACACACTGAAAGTACAGAAGAAAGAAAAATTGGATATGATGTGAGGATGAGCCCGACGTGTTTCACAGCAGGGGGTCAGGGACTGGAGCCTTTTTACCGAGAAACTGGGCTAGCTGGGTTGAGAGCATAGCCAGAGATGAACTAGAAGCCTGCACACCGTGACCACACATTAACTGTGATATTAACTTGATGCTCATGAGTTTAGCATATTTGATGGAACAGTACCTATTCAGAAAGTAGCCACACACTGCTAGAAATATTTGAGGCAGTTTTTGAAGGTACTTTTGCTCCTAGTGGAGTGGGAAAAAGACTCATAAAGGCTGATACTTTGAGATTTGAAGTAATGAAGTCCTTTAAGGCTTAGAGCTGACACATTACAACTTCGGGGAGCTAGCAGAACTCGGTTTCAGCTGAAAAGAGGAGAAACACATCTTGATTCCAGAGGACTGATTTTTGTATGTTGTGGTCTAAGTGTCCTGTTTAGTAGAAAAAATCTAGAAAGAAAGTAGGTGCTGATATAAATCTCTGAGAGTAAGTTGATCTTGTCTGTGGCAAGGGTAAGACTTAATCAGCTTTTTCTTTTCCTGGGGTTTCATCTGATAAACTGGCTCCAGAATCACCCAGATTTTCAGAATAGGAGGGAAGCTGTACAGTACAATGCAGAATACATGTTCTTCACAATACCTGTCCTCTGAGTCTCATAAACCTGTTACACTCAGGGATCAAACAAGGTGACGGATCTGAAAGTATGTTGAGACTGCAGTTTAAGGCCCTCACTTGTTCTGATCTGCTTTCCACATTTGACAAACATACAGCAGGTACATTGCTAGAGTCTAGATATAGTGATAAGCTGTGGTTTCTGCCGTCAGGGAAAATAAAGCCTAAAAGAAACACAAACTTTCACGGATGAGAAGCACTCTGGGTGCTGAGGGAACAGGACAGTGTCTAGGAGATGATTGAAGTACAGATCAGGGATCTGTCCTTGGAGGTGAGCGGAACCCTGAGGAACCACAAGGAATTGGGTAACGGGAGGGATTGCAGGCGTGGGGGAACGGCGTGCAAACGCTTGTGGGGTGAGGGTGTATTCACGTTTATTTGTTTTGGTGGTAGGGACATGAGTAGTATGACTGGAAGATATTGAGGAAAGAGAAAGAAAGAAGGTGCTTATGGAGATGAGCAGTCATTAAAAGATTTCACTCTAATCATTTAAAGATTTTTAAAATTATATGATCAGAGTGCTTGTGGCAGAGGTCATTCTGGTAGCGATGTGAAAGATTGGGGGAGGGTACGCATAACCAATGGACATGGACAACAAAGCCAGGGATGGGGAGGAGGGTGTCAATGGGGTAAAAACGGAGAAACATCTGTAATAAAAATAAAATTAAAAATAAAATAAATTAAAAAAAAAAATGATTGGGGGAGGGGAAGACTGAGGAATGGAGGCCAGTAGAAGCCTATTAGCAAAATTTAGGCAAGAAAAGAGGGAGTGCCCTGGCCAGTTTGGCTCAGTGGTGAGAGCGTCGGCCCATGGACCGGAGAGTCTTGGGTTCGGTTCCCGCTAAGGGCATGTACCTCGGTTGCAGTTTGTCCCCAGCTCCGGTTGGGGTTGTGTGGGTGGCAGCCAGTCGATGTGTCTCTCTCACGTCGATGTTTCTCTCTCTTTTCCTCTCTTTCTCTCTCCCGCTCTATCTGAATCTGAAGATAAAAGCAAAAATGTCCTGGAGTGAGGATAAAAAAGAAAAAGAAAAGAGGGAGTGAATTCAAAACAATGGAAAATAGGAAAGAGGATGACAGAGATATAAAAGGTAGAAGGACTGTACTTGAGGCCACTTATGGGGTGGAGTGGGCTGAGAAAAGTAAGTACTGATGCCACATTTCAGACCTTTCTAATTGCCAGTTATGTGGATGTGATACTCAGCTTGAAGTTTATAGCACCTTAGGGAGATAAGTAACTCTTTGGAAAATCATGTTCAGAAAGTGTTATCAATTAATTAGTATCAATCTTTAAAGAATTATTTAATGGCATGTATTAAAACCCCTCTTCTTTTGACCATTATCAATGAGGTAGGTAGAATTTTAAAAAAATTAACGTGTAGTTGACCATATCTCAATCATTAAGCCAGAAATGTGTATGTCAGAGATTATTATTATTTTTTTTATCCTCACCCGAGGACATTTTTGCATTTTTTGTTCAGATAGAGTGGGAGGAAGAGAGAGAGAGAAACATCGATGTGAAAGGGACACATCCAGTAGTTGCCACCGGCATGACCCAACCAGGGCCGGGGACAAACTGCAACCGAGGTATGTGCCCTTAGAGGGAACTGAACCCGGGTCTCTCTGGACTGCAGGTCGACGCTCTAACCACTGAGCCAAACCAGCCAGGCGATTCAGGATTATTTTTAATGTATGCTTGAAGGGGACTAAAATAAGAAAAAATGTAAAAGATAAATTTATAACCTACCACAGATTGCACAAGTATACATCAATAAGATTATTATTAATAATAATATCAGATAATAACGTGGCAATTAATATTTAGTAGTTTTGGTTTTTGAAAACTTACTTTCAATATATTATTTGAACTGATCAACAACTCTCTCACAATGGATGGGTTTCTCTCACATCAATGTTTCTCTCTCTCTCTCCCCCTCTCTCTCCCTCCCTCCCTCCCTTCCACTCTATCTGGAAAAATACCTTTGGGTTATTTTGAGGTAAAATTTATATAATAGAAAATTAACTAAAAACCATTTTATTATTATTATTATTTGAGGATATTTTTCCATTTTTAGATAGAGGGGAAGGAAGGGATAGAGAGAGAGAAACATCGATGTTAGAGAGACACATTGATTGGTTGCCTCCCTCAGGGTCTACAGGGGCTAATGATTGAAATTACAACTGAGGTATGTGCCCCTGACTGAGAATTGAACCCCTGGATTCTTTGGTTGGTAGGTTGACACTAACTGCTGAGCCAAACTGGCCAGGGCCCAATAACCTTTTTTTTTTTTTTTTTTTTTGTGGTACGTGCCCCTAGCGGGAACCGAACCAGGGACTCTCTAGTCCACAGGCCAACACTCAACTACTGAGCCAAACTGGCCAGGGCCCAATAACCATTTTAAAATGTATAACTCAATAACATTTGGTTCCACTTTTTAAATAACTCTAAAGGAAATAAAAATTTTAATAGAGATGACTGGTGAACTGAAGTACCTAAGTCTCTAAATACTCCCCATTACAGTGCACCCTAACTCTTTCTATTCTAATGGATGGTCCTCTGCTCGCTATGCTATCAATGCTGAACAAATGGGTCACCTAGTCAAGTTATTGATGACCTATATTTCTTAAATTGAACTTGTTTTAGGTGTTAATATCTAACTTGGAATTCCTTATTTTATTTTATTTTTTATTTTTAGTGTTTCCTATGATTGTAAATTTCATGTGGGCCGGTAGAGGAGAGCCCAGTTCCTTAGAGTATTTCAAAAGCATATGCTAACGATTGGTTACCTAGTTCTGGGATTTTTATTTCTACTTATTTCTTATCGATTCCCTCATGTCGTAGCAGTGGTTCAAACTCTTTGGTACGCCCAGAAAATACTCAGGGTTGCGACTGTCCCTGGATGGGACTAATCAAGCTGAATGTCAAATCCCTGGCCATTTTCAGCAGCAATGAAGGCAGCAGCTATGGGGTCGGACCTGAGGTGGCGCTGTTGCGCCTTAGCAGGATTTTCACCAGGACTGACGTTTGCTTTCTACTGACGATTGACTACCTACCAATCAATCACTAGGAGAAGGAAATAGATAGCAACAAGTCCAGCTTTCACAGTTGCAGCAGAGGTTTCCTGCTGGCTAGAGTGTGGTGAGCCCCGGAAACCTCAGTGCCCGCAGACTTCCCTTGTGGGGAAGCCCGCCCAAACTCCATCCTTCGCTGGCAGCCACGCCCCACAGGGGGAAGGACGGATTGAAAAGCATTTCCTTGAGGCTGGCACACCTTGCCCTACCCAAACCGGTCATTTTGTTTTGTTTTGTTTTGTTTTCTTTCTGGCTGGGCCAGTTCATTTGAAACCAGTGACCAGAGGAGGACCACGGTAGTGAATGGGGGTTTGGGGGTACGCAGGGTGGGGAGGGTGGTGGGGGAAGCAGTGATGCAGCTAGGGGTGGACTTTGGCATTAGGAAAGAGAGGGAGGAGGCCAAAGTGGGATGGTTGTGAGTGGCTGTTTGCATTTCGTGTGAATATTAATCATCAGGTGAACGAATCTGTATTTCTTTGGAACAAGCATCTTGTGGGTTTTGCCTTCAGTGCTTTTATATCAAGAGACTAAACTTGCCTTAGTGATTTTGGTAATGAGCAGCAGCAGCAGCCAGAAAGCCCAGTGATGAGGGGCCTCTGTGGATTCGTGGAGAGGGGCAATCGGGACAGGGGAGGGAGAAACAAGCAAGATACAGGGATTACTTATCACAGGACCACAGAGCCATTCAAATGTGTGGCCTTGGGCTCACTGCTCTGAGCTTCAGCTTTCTCCTCTGTAAAGTAGGTTGTCGTGATATTTAAGTGAGATAATACCTGTTCAGTATTACATGCTATTCCTTGTTGACCACATTTCTGTTTTCTTTTCCTCTGTCTGCTCTTTCTCTGTCTCTTTCCTTTCTCATCATCAGTCCCTCGACCTCAGCTCCATTTTGTCTCCTTTCTTCCCCTTTTATTTCTGTGATTTTGTCCTCCTTCTGCAACGAATCCTTTCCACATCCGAGTTTCTCCTATATTTCAGACCCTGCTTTCTTCCCACTACTTAGTGACAGCCATCAGTGGCTGTGGAAATACAGGCTACTGTGATGTGTAGCACACCACCCTGAACTGCAACTGGAAACAGGGCTTTGAGGCGCCTGCCTCATTTACCCTCCTCAGTACCCCCGACTCTCCCCTCACAGCCAGCTAGGGGCCATCCAGGTCTTTAATGGGACCTGACAAAGTATTTGCTTCGGTGAGAACCATATACCCTTGTTCAGTGCCCTCATCGCTGTATTGGTGTGCTAGGGCTGCCATACAGAGTATCACAAACTGAGCGGCTTAAATGACAGTTCTGCAGGGTAGAAGTCCCAGATCCAGGTTTTGGCAGGGTTGTGAGGGAATGATCTGCTTCGGGCCTCTTTCTTTGGGTTGTAGATGGCTATCTTTATGTTCATAGGGTATGTGGCTGCCTCCAAATTTTCCCCCATTTGAAGGACAACAGTCATATTGGATTAAGGCCCACCCTAATGACTGACTGACTTTGATTACCTCCATTATCTCCCAATTTCCAAATAAGGTCACATTCTGAGGTACTGGAAGCTAGGACTTCAACATATGAATCTGGGGCAACACATTTCAACCATAACAACGACTGGTTCCCTAATTACGCACATGCTCAGTTAGTTGAGCATCACATCAATATTAGTTTTCTTCTGCAGACACTTGGTTTTCCCACTTTCTCAAAACTTCCCAACCAGCACCTGTGAGCATGTGCTCCAAACTTCTACAGGGAGTTACATGGTTCTGCAGCTCTGTTTTGTTTTAACTTGAGTGTGTTATTTTCCGGTTGTTGCATGAACAAATCACCACAAACTTAGTGGCTTCAAACAACACAGATTTTTGTCTTAGAGTTGTGGAGGTCAGAAGTCTGAAATGGGTAGGTAGGCAGGTCTGGGCTCCTTCTGGAGGCTCTCGGGGAGAATCTGTTTCCTTGCCTTTTCCAGCTTCTAGAGGCTGCCTACATTCCTCAGGTCATGACTCCCTCCATCTGCAAGCCACATCAAGTCTTTGTCACATCCCATATGCTGACGCCAACTCTTCTGCTTTATTGCGCATTTCAGATCCTTGGAATGACGTTGGACTCAATGGACTATCCAGGATAACCTTCCTATTTTAAGGTCAGTTCATTAATCCATCTGCAATCTTAATTCTATGGTGCTAGTTTAACATTATTAAAAACTAACATGTATTCACAGTTCTGGAGATTTGGACATAGACATCTTTGGGGGGGGGGTGGAGGTGGGGGGGAGTAGGTAGGGAACGGCATTATTTCTGTCTCTCACACTGAGCTTTCAATGACTGGGTTTTTCCAGTGACCGGGTTTTTCTTATAGGGTCTATTTTTCTGTTTTCACTCTGAGGGATCAATGTTTTGCTTGCTATGTGTAATAAAAAACTTTACATCCCTTTTATAGAGAAAAACAACATCATGCCTAATGATAGAACTAAAAATGTTTCCCCACTGAGCAGAAACCTGGGTACCATGATATTTTCCATATAACACTGTTAAAAATTAGTCCCCATCACCACTTGTACTTTTAGTGTTACAATTTAATCCTTTATACTTAATTTGCACAGGTTATTTTCCTATAAAAACTTATTTCAGATCCAACACTATTTTTATAGGTGAATTTAGTTATTTATTGATTGAATAAGCATATGAATCTTGATATGTGCCAGGCACTAGTCACTCTTGGTGCTAAGGAAACAATAATGAAGAAAGAATACAGAGATGAAGAAAATAGCCAAAGTCCCTAAATATTTGTTGTCATGAAGGTTTCATGCTTTACTTTTAACTCTGTTAATTCATTTTTGTTTTCCCCACTGACCTAGGTTGAATGGTCTTAGTTTCCCAACATGTCTTCTGACTTTAGATGTGGCTACTGCTCATGCCTACTTCTTGGCTCTGCTCATGAAAGACCTAAATAAGCTGACTATGCCCTTAAGGAAATTACTGTCTGGTTGGGAAGAAACAGATAATAATAGGCAAACTGATTAAGTATTGAATAAACAGGGTGGGTATTTATTGCTCTATATAGCATATCATTTCTTGGATACAGTTTATAACTATGGAAAATGAAAGTAGAAGGGAAGGAATGTACACAAAGAAAAAGCAGCTAATTGCACAGACATCAGTGTAGAGGAGAAAGAGCCCTGTGCTGAGTCCAGGGACCTACAGTCTGTTCTAAGCTCTGGCGCTCTTTTGTGTGTGTGAGCAAAGAACAAGGCACTTACCTCAGTGTCCTTAGATATTTTATTTTTTTCTTTTAGAAAATGAAGGGTTGAGGTAGACTGGGAAATCTCAGGGGATTCTTTCAAGCTTAAAAATAAATGAGCCTGCCCTGGCCGGTTTGGCTCAGCGGTTAGAGCGTCGGCCTGCGGTCGAGAGAGACCCGGGTTCAGTTCCCGCTAAGAGCATGTACCTCGGTTGCAGTTTGTCCCCGGCCCTGGTTGGTCGTGCGGGTGGCAGCCACTCGATGTGTTCCTTTCACGTCGATGTTTCTCTCTCTCTCTTCCTCTTTCTCCCTCCCACACTCTATCTGAACAACACAAATAAATAAATGAGTCTTTTTAACTTCTCATAATATCTCTGAGTTTCCTAACCAAAATAGTAATGAGGAGATAGGTTAGAGTTCAGTCACCTCTGGATATGGGAAGGAAAATGGGATGGGATGAAAGGGTTCCTATCTACCCCTTGACTTGAGCTACTTTTCATGAATTTACTCTTACCCCTTAGCTCACCATCCTTCTCCACTAGGTCCCCTTCCTGCAACTCCAGCTCAACTGGGCAATGCAGATTCCAGCTTCATCATGCTGTAAATACCACTTCTTCAGGGCGAGTCTTCAGGCAACAGAATGATTTCCTGATGTTTCTGCTTTCTGTAGCCCTCATCAGTCTCATCTGTATCCCACCTTCTAAGCTTTGTCTGCCCCCTAACTCAATAAGTTTGCTCATGTATAATAATAAGCCTTCTTGACTTTGCAGTAGCAAGGTATATGGATGGCCAACTCCTCACCATTCCTGTGGTCAAAGCAACTGAACGATAGTGATAGCATTTTTCACACCCATATTTTTATATTTTTGTGGGCTAAATTATTGGCAAGAATTATAAATGAAAAGGAAACACTTTTTAATGTTTCCTTCTACAGCTGTTAACATCTTACGGCCTCAGCCAGAGTAAACCGACCCATCTTTATATATTTAACAGTGGTTCTTAAACTTGTCAGGTAATAAAATACTTAGAAATATGGTGCTATTTCTAGAACATTGATCTAAATTTACATGATTATATGTGTATAATTTTAGGCTGTGTGAGAATTCTACTAACAACACATTGTAGCAGATGCTAAAGTTTAAGGGGGGAAAATATGTTTCAAAAGGTACATTGTGGCCATAGGAAAATCTCAATAATACACATGTAATACTCATATTTTAAGCCAGGTAGCTTTCTGGAGAAAGCTTCAAAAGTATTACAGTAGCAAGCTTTTGTCTTATAATTAGTTGTTGAATGATTTAACTAGATGTACTATATTATTGAGTAAATGAAGGGTATTATGTTGAGTGACTCCAGGAGGTATCATTCATATTATATTCGTAGGCTATCAACTGAATGATGGAAAATATTTGACCAAGATGATAATTTGGAGTTTAGAGATGATGATTCAAGCACTTTTTTTCTGATAATAATCAGCTATCAGGACCAATTGTATGTCGAAGCCCTGCCTCGTTTGTGTCATTAGAATCGACTTCTCCAAAGTCCCTTTGAAGGCTGGGCCCAGATGAGAAAGCTCCTGTTGACCCTGTAAGAACGAGGCGGTGCTGAGGAACCAGAAGTGTGCAGGTTTATTGAGGGAAAGACCTGCTGGGCTATCTCCAAGGAGAAAATAGCAACCAGCTCATCCGGACTAAGGATTTTTAAACTTAGGGCTGGGGCCCTGGCCGGTTTGGCTCAGCGGTTAGAGCATCGGCCTGCGGTCCAGAGAGACCTGGGTTTGGTTCCCGCTGAGGGCATGTACCTTGGTTGCAGTTTGTTCTCGGCCCTGGTTGGGTCGTGCAGGTGGCAGCCACTCGATGTGTACCTTTCACGTCGATGTTTCTCTCTCTCTCTCTCCCTCCCACTCTATATGAACAAAATATGGAAAAATTTCCTCGGGTGAGGATAAAAAAAAAATAATAATAAAATAATAAACTTAGGGCTGGGGTGGTGGTCGTTCAGCCGAGGAGTCGTGGTCGTGCTTGATTGGTCGGGCTGGGGGTCTCCTGAGTTCTTGACTGGTTGAGGCGGGGGTCTCCTGAAACTCGATTTTCTTGTCGAGTGACCGTTTGCAGTTTTGGGTTAGGGTAGTTCCATCATTCCGTTCTGCCTGACTGGAGTGATGGGTTTTGGTTTCCTGGAATGAGAGGCTTAGGGCAAGGTTAACCGATAAGAGGCTTGGGGCATCAATATGAAAGTAAAAGATTTAAGAGGCTTGGGGCAGTAACATGGAAGTTAGAGCTAACAGACCCTTGTCACAGTGCCCAATGATGCCCCTTCCACCTGGGCCCAAATTTAGTGCTGCCTCTGGCCAGTTAGAGGGAAGGACTTGTTTATCTGAATAGTAGCAGTCACAGGCTTGGCTTGTGGTTCCAGGATGGAGGAGGGGACTAAGGGAATGCTGAAAATTTATCTTGACTGCCTTGTTTTCCATCAGATTTGTAAGCAGATGCCACAAATCTAGTAAGTCTGCTCTGAACTTGCCCTGCCTCCTACATCTGTGGTCTCTCCCTGTAGGTTTTATTGCCTGACCCCTTTAGTGTCCTTTGGGGCTGATATCATAATATGAATCAAAATGAATTCTGATGGAGGAAGAAGAAACAAGCAGCATAGTCACTAGAATACTTTTAAATCCCTGCAATGCCAATAATGAAAATACAACTGAAATGTACAGTGTTTGGTTTTCAACCTTGGACATATGTGGGGTAGATTTCCAGAGGCTAGTCCAGACACATTTATAACCCAACGTCCTGGCAGGCAGAAGAAACTATAAAGTAGGATCTTTCTCCTTATCCTGATCCCTACAAAACTTAACAGGATTAAAAGAGATCAGATATCCAGTCAGCCTCCAGAATGATTGAAAATGGTAGTGAGAGCAGTAGATAGATATTCAAAGACATACTAGACTAGTCTTTTTTTAAAAGTTATTTTATTTTTATTTTTTTGTGGTACGTGCACCTAGCAAGAACCGAACCCAGGACTCTCTGGTTTGCAGACCGACGTTCAACCGCTGAGCCAAACTGGCCAGGGCTACAAGACTGATCTTAGCTTAAGTGCTAATCAGCTCTTGGAAGCCATCTAATTCTGTGGCTCAGTTTCCTCACCCGTAAGTTATGGAGGGGAGGTATTGGGCTGCTCCCAAAGGGCTCTGTGGCGGTGCACGTTTAGAATTCTGTGGCATCTGTGGAGCGTGCACTGTATTTCATAGTGTGCCTGTCAGGCAGAGTGAGAAATGGAAGCCAGGGTTGCCGTTTTTATTGTTTCTTTAGCAGGGAGGTATGACTACAGTGGCTCAGAAGATATGGCTGCTTCATTCACAGTGTGGGAAGAGAATGGCTTTTTGACACTGAGTTGAACTTGCTGTCTTTGAATCCCTTCTTGGAGCCCAAGCAGCTTTCAGAACACCAAGTGACCTCAGTTTCACTCCCTGTCTTTCTTGTCCTCACCCATTCTACTCTTAGGAATGATATATTCATAACCAGGAGGTCCCACATCTGATTAGATCTCTGATTTATTTTCTGACCCAGGGCAAATCACCTTTCACTTAGATCTTAGTTTCCACATGCAATATGAGGTTGTTAAAATAGCCATGGATTATTCTGAAGTGGCTTTCTATTACAAAATTGAAGATAACTTTAAAGGATAATTGAACTTTGCAGGACTGAATAAAAAAAAAAAGTAGATAAATCAAATGTGTTTATAATTATTGATAAATCATCTCCCCTTTATCACCATCACTTTTTTTTTTTTTAATCCTCACCCAAGGACATTTTTCCATTTTTTGTTCAGGTAGAGTGGGAGGGAGAGAGAGGAACAGAGAGAGAGAGAGAAACATCGATGTGAAAGGGACACATCGAGTGTCGA